TGTATTTAGGTATACATCCAATACAATACAGGAGAATACTACAAATAAAAAGTTTTATCCTTAAAAAGCGTTGAAAGAGTCTTCGATGGGAAAGATATTTACATGAAATATATTGATGGCACTCACTCTAGAACTCATGCACTAATACAATGATACACAAGTGTGTTGATATAAGCGTTTATCTGTACATATACTCGTCTCTTATTACCTTTATGGAACTGACGAGAAAAACTAAGTCTTTTGTTGAAGGAGATCAGAATGGGAAATTGAGAAAAGAAGAAAAATTAGCATGGAGATTTTGGGGACAAAATGAAGACGTAAAGAGTCCTTTTGTTGTGTATTGGATGAGGACTTTTTGATTGACTTATTGGGAAAGTTTTGCTAAGGATCTTTGCTCATTTCTGTGATTTATGATAGAAAGTTTGGACGGTTGGTAATGGAAGTTGCTTTTTAATATTAATTATTTAATGTTAATTGACAAAATTCTGATTTTTCTGTTTGGATGTAAAAGGATAATGAAAGGCTTTCTATTATCCCCTCTTGTATAGTTCTGTAATGTCATTAGAATTGCGTGCGAATCCTAGTCATTTCAACAATACTATTTGCAATTATAAAGAGGGGTTTGTCTCTATTGAGAATCGAACCTACTTCTCATTAAGAATTACTGGTATTCGGTCTGTTGCCTAATCTTGACCTGGCAGATTGACCACTAGATTTCACTTTGTAAAGACAATGCATATTATCTTGAGTAATTGTGATAGACCACATATTTAAAACGCACTTGTTCCGGACGATTCCTTAAATATTTTAGCATCAAAACTTGATGTTGTGCATTACATCCACAAATTCAACATTAAATCGTTTACACTTTTAAAGCTTTTTAACTTTTGTGACTTCAAACACTGCTCAAAAGTTAAAAATAAAAACGGAAGCATGTGCTGGCTTGTCAAATATTTGAACGACAAACACCAAGATCGATTGGTTGTTTTCCTGGAAATTTTTCAAAGGGCATACAATTTAGAAATATTGAGCTAGCTTTGATACTGCTGCAAATTTCTTGGAATGTTATTTTCATCTTGCCCCATTCTTCTTTTCTTTCGTACTTAGAACTTTCTATCAACTAGAATATCTATTCCTTATTATTCAGTACCAAAAATAATAAGAAATCCACAAGAATTTTTTTCCTATTTATTTACTAAAACTTGAAGAAAATTCTTTTCTTTCTTTATTTATTTTCATTGCCATCATAACACATGAAGGCATCTCAAGTATAGAACCTTGGTGTCTCCATGTATATAAAAATGTATGTGCGAGTGTCTTTATACCTATCATATCTCAATGTCTATTATGTATATCAAGAGACTTAAAAACACGACTGAAGAAGAAAGAAAAAATTTGAATTTTCCATTATAAGTATGATGATGGTAAAAGTTTCGATATATCTATCCGTCTATCGGTGGATGATGGCAGAAAGTTTTCTTCTTTGTTATTTTTTTTTGTACAATTATTTAGATTTTTGGAATGTTTGAGGACTGTTGTCCATAGCTTGTCCACTGGTCTGCTAGTTTTCTTAGTTTTTGTCTCATAAAGGAATCAATATTGATCTTATCTTTATATAAATTTGAAGTTTTGACTTCTTAGTAAGACAAAATGTGCAAAGGCAGTCAGATTTTTCGGTATACCTTAAGTTTAGCCTTAAAAAACACTACTCATGATGTGTACCGCATAATATGAAATATTAAAGAGTAGATATAGTATCTGGGGTAGTGTGAATCTTTAGCTTGATGGACACTAGTCAAAAACATTCTAGCATAACCCCTCCTCTTTCTAAGCTTTGTATAATCTGAAGATATCAAGCCATTTGTAACCAAATCTACTTGTTCGAGTGTAAGGTACCTATAGCCGAGTTGTTAAACAACACACTAAAATTCCTTTTGGTATGAAAGTGGGTTTGATTCCTATCAAAAGCGAGATCTTACAATGATTACATTAAATTCCATTAGATGCTTCAATAATGCGCATAAGTTCCTTAAAAATAAGAATAAAGTAATTTTCTCGACAACTTAGTAACTTACTTTATGCTATGTCGAAAAAAAAATGAGATTTTCATATTGAATGGCTATAAGGCAATGGCTTTTAAGATTTTTCTTATTATTGTTCACCCCCAAATTCCTCAATTTCTCATTCATATGTATATTTATAGCACTCGTTCATGACACGAGAATATAGACACATTCTCATGTAGATATTGTGCCAATGTAAAGTACACCCAAGGAACTTATTAAAGGAGATATATGTACACACATGAATATTTGGTGATGGAAAAAAAAGTATCGAATGACAATGGAAAGACCTAGAATTTTTTAGCAATAAAAAGAATGATAATATTCTCATATCATTGAAATGCTTACCACTGCCAGCCATGGGTAATAACACTCTCTTTATTTTCCTTTCACCAACACATCCTACCATCATATCAACAACTTATGGGAAAATTCACAGAGCAGCCAAGATGAATGGTACTTTTGTGAGTTATAATGTTAAGGACCGTTGAGAATGTGAATGGGAAATTTGAAGTAAAAGGAAAATATTTTGTGGAATAAAATAAGGGAAGAATTTACATTTTTACCTAAACATTTTTTCCTTACATGCATCATGCAGAGAAGTTATAATAATAAAAATGTATAAATAGCTCTTTTTCAGTTGTAAAATGTTCTCATTCTTAATGCAAGTTGAAAACATCATTTTTACTTTGTAAGTTTCTTTTTATAAAGAAACTTTATTATTCATATATGAAATGTGAAATAAATTGGTGTTCGTAAAGATAAGCTTTTGCTTCTACTTATTTGCTGAATTTTTAAGGAGCATGTTTATAAAATTTCACACATTTGGAAGCTTTCTTAAAAAGGTTTTGGGGTTATTTTTAAGTTTATAAGGTTTACACGACTTTAGCATAACTAGCTAGAATCCTTAAACAAGCTTTAAATGTATATTTAGCTTTAAATCTAATTTCCAAAAGAGTAGTATAAAGAGTGGTCAAAAGAGTAACTCTCTTTTTGGGGGGGGGGGGGGGGGGGGTGTCAAGAATTATGTAACGTTCTAACTGTCGTCTGTCTTTTAAAAAAAAGTTCACGAAAAAAATTTGTTTTCCACCTTTTTAATGTGATTTATGAAAATGTTTAAAATAAAATAAATTATGAACGTTCGGGGGGGAGGGTAACATGTGAGTTGTAACATATTGTAACAAAGGGGGGGGGGGGAGGGGGTGAAAAAAGTCGTTTTTTTGCGTAACATATTAAGTGAACGGCCCAAAAGGTATCTCAGATTTTGTAAAAGTTAAATCAGAGAACGAGAGAGGCTAGAACTTGCAACATAACTTAATTTAAGAACGTCCTTGTTTTAAACAGAAACAAAAAATTCAATCATAAATATTCACAAGGTTTTTTTTCCAAAGAGTAGGCAAGAAAGGTTACAAAAATCTCCATTTTTTAATATTAAAAATTCATTGTTTTAATTTTACACTCATTAACTCTTGCAAAATATTTTCAAACGCCTTTGCATTAAGGTAGCTTTATTACTTTGTTAAGTACATACAATATCTTCTTATTGAATCAAAACATTTCTGAGAACTCATGAAATTTTCTGTTATATTAATTTTAGAATCAAATTCATTCAAGCTTTCCATCGTCGATTTGATTGAATTTTCTCAACGAGTTTTCGGCATTCGCAGAAGAAATCTAATCAAAAACTTTCAATGAAGTATCAAAAAAAAATGTCAAATCATCGAATCTGCGTGACTTCTGTGAATTCTATTTTAAACCCATAATCGAGGAAATGGCAATAGCATAATGTATGATTTTTGGAGCCTTAAAATAGAACCTAATACTGAAAATTTTGTATTTATCTTGAAATGCGTTTAAAGAAAGCAAAAATCCTCGTGCAGACTTCTTCATTTTACCTTAGTACTAAGTACATATTTTGCATTTCAATATTAAGAACATCCTTTTTGCACATCAAAAAAATTAAGTTCTCATTTTTACCTCGACATAATTTAACTTTCTGAAAAGCACTATAGAAAAAAATCTAGAAAATAGAAGTAATATCTCCATTTCATTTCTTTTGTTTGAAGCATCATATCATATGAAATATACACATTCAAGTGCACTCTTCACTCCCAGCAAGAGAAAGAATAAAAATTCCTTTCGTTTTGAGTTTTGTTACAAAACATTTATTATACACGTGCATAATCTAGAATGAGAATAGCATTTCATATTTCAAACAGGAATGAGAATTGAAAGTAAGAAAAACATTGTAGGTGAAATTTATTTTAAAATTGTCACTGGATGCCTCTAAGGGAACTTTTAAAGCTTTACTTTGACTTTTTGTTTGAGCTGTTTTAATTTTTTTGGAAGTTGTTTCTTAAAAGCTATGTTAAGTTGCATAAGATTCATAATTAAGACGAATTTCATTAGCATCGGTCAAATTCAAAGTTAAGAAAAAGAATTTTGTAGGACAAAGTAGCTAATTCGTTACATTTTGGTAGTAAACTTAATAGATATAGCAAATTGCAATCCAATTGTTTTAAACATAAATCATAAAAAAACTTTTTGGCACTCTAATGCATTCAGATACACTGAAATCAGTACAGTTTGGCATGTTTGTCATTAATAGAGATCAAGGGAGGTTTATAGGTCATTTCCTTCAGATTAGGCTTCTTATTTTAATAGCCTAGAAGTAGTTTAGCTAAATTATACTTAAAAACTTCAAACTTCATCCAAAGAAAAATGCAAAGTGAACATAAAATATCACATCCACATCCCAAAAATCCAGTCAAAACTAAAATGCTACATATGGGAAAAGGTAGTAAGTTTATATTTCTTTTTTTTTCTCATCTCTTTCATTTCCTATTTTCTCTCAAAAGGACTCTTGAGACTGCAGCAAATATATCAAGGTTTAAATCCTGGAAATGAAACGTTTCAAGTGGAAATAGTAAAGCGAATAAATAATGTCACCGATGCAATTGAATTTCTACAGAAAATTGAGCAACTTAATCGATGGTCGAGAAAATTTGTCGTGCTAGACTGTCCGACCGACATGGCAAAAGATATTGTAAAAACGCACGTGAGAGATGTGACGTTGGGAAAGCGAACATATCATTATCTCCTTAGCGGTCTTGTAAGTATTTTTTATGTTCTGTTCTGCCTTAACATTGCAATTTCGTGTTTCATATGAAGTCAAGGGGAAAGCAACATGGTGGGAAAAAATTTTGATTTGAAATTTCTCAAATTTTGAAATTTAAACTTTAATTCGCTTAGCAATTTCTCATAATTTTTCAAATTTAGAAATTATTTCCCATCATGTTGTTATCCCCCTCATATGAAATATTAAATTCTCGTAGGAAAGATTTGGTGTTGTTATTTTTTTCGGTGTTCCCAACTCGCGTATATACAAGAACAGCAAACATTAAAAGTGTTATAAAATGTTACACCATTGTGGCGCGCTTGAATTTTTGGTACGGGAAATACAATAAAAAGCTCACATATTACACTTGATATTATAAATAAAAGTTTATTACATTTAAGAAAAACCAAAAAAATCTCTCGGTGGCATGCTTTTGTTTTAGAGGTTCCTAAGCATATCGCTGCTTTAATTGTGTCTTGGGAAAATTAAATCTCATTTTTCCTTCTTGCTGGGTACAAGATTTATAAGATAAAGTCATGTCAAGAACAATTCACATGATTAAAAAGTTGGAAAGTTCTTGAAATGTTGAAATGTATTTCTACTGCCGTGCTCAATCATGCGTCACATTAAAAGCTTGAAGAGAAATTCTTCTTGAATATTTACAGAATTTTCTTCTTTTTGAAAAATTTTCTCATTGAGTCCATAAAATTTATGCATACTTTTTACCACGTTTTTCTTAACTTGCTTTCTTGTCTTTCTGTCTTTCTGTTTGTCTTGGTCAAATCTTGTAATCGATTTTTCGACCACTTCTACTGCTCCAATCGAGCTAAAATTTTTAATGCACACGTATTCCCGGTGACAATACAATATTTTAGCACTTTGGAAACACAAAAATGCTTAATTATAGTACAATTTATGTAAAAGTTTTTTATATGGGAAAAAATCCAATGTCAATGATATAAAATTTTGATTTGTATTAAATATTATACATGTGATGCTCTAAAGTCATTTATATGATTCATTATAGTTTAATTAATATTACTAATTATTAATTATACCATAAATTTGAGCAACTAAAGATATTCTGGTAAGACAAAAAAATTGACATGTAATTTTTTCATGAATATTCGTAAGTGAAAATTTGAATTTTCAAAAAAACCGTTAAGCACAAGTCCGTTACGAATTAATGCAAAATAACTATTAATATGCGATGTGCATTTAACACACATAGTTTGAGCATAAATTTATGCTGTTTTAAATGTATTGCATTATTTATAACACTTCACCAACTTAATTAAATTGACTTTTCTTTTTATTAACGGCTTGGCGTATTTTTGCATAACATATAAATGATGATATTCATTGAATTTAAATTTGAAAATCCGTTATAAATACGTTACATATGTGATTTGCATCTTTATAGTAAGAATCCACACGTTATGAAGTAGAAATGGTACAGATAAACACAAAATCTTTACGAGTGATTTTTAATGTACTTTACTAATGAATGCTTTAAAAAAATTAAATTTTATAAAACGAATGAAAAATTTTGAAAGTCGTTACTAATTTCCCATTGAAAACTGGTAATTTATAAAAAGTTGAACGCAACGAAGTGAAGTTCAACACACCTGTAACCTATAAACCTACTGTGATCTATAAACAGTTGAACGTAACGAAGTGCAACGAAGTAAAGTTCAACACACCTGTAATCTATAAACCTACTGTAATCTATAAACAGTTGAACGTAACGAAGTGAAGTTCAACACACCTGTAACCTATAAACCTACTGTAATCTATAAACAGTTGAACGTAACGAAGTGCAGCGAAGTGGAGTTCAACACACCTGTAACCTATAAACCTACTGTAATCTATAAACAGTTGAACATAACGAAGTGCAACGAAGTGGAGTTCAACACACCTGTAACCTATGAACCTACTGTAATCTATAAACAGTTGAACGTAACGAAGTGCAACGAAGTGAAGTTCAACACACCTGTAATCTATAAACCTACTGTAATCTATAAACAGTTGAACGTAACGAAGTGAAGTTCAACACACCTGTAACCTATAAACCTACTGTAATCTATAAACAGTTGAACGTAACGAAGTGAAGTTCAACACACCTGTAACCTATAAACCTACTGTAATCTATAAACAGTTGAACGTAACGAAGTGCAGCGAAGTGGAGTTCAACACACCTGTAACCTATAAACCTACTGTAATCTATAAACAGTTGAACATAACGAAGTGCAACGAAGTGGAGTTCAACACACCTGTAACCTATGAACCTACTGTAATCTATAAACAGTTGAACGTAACGAAGTGCAACGAAGTGAAGTTCAACACACCTGTAATCTATAAACCTACTGTAATCTATAAACAGTTGAACGTAACGAAGTGAAGTTCAACACACCTGTAACCTATAAACCTACTGTAATCTATAAACAGTTGAACGTAACGAAGTGCAACGAAGTGGAGTTCAACACACCTGTAACCTATGAACCTACTGTAATCTATAAACAGTTGAACGTAACGAAGTGCAACGAAGTGAAGTTCAACACACCTGTAATCTATAAACCTACTGTAATCTATAAACAGTTGAACGTAACGAAGTGAAGTTCAACACACCTGTAACCTATAAACCTACTGTAATCTATAAACAGTTGAACGTAACGAAGTGAAACGAAGTGGAGTTCAACACACCTGTAACCTATAAACCTACTGTAATCTATAAACAGTTGAACGTAACGAAGTGCAACGAAGTGGAGTTCAACACACCTGTAACCTATGAACCTACTGTAATCTATAAACAGTTGAACGTAACGAAGTGCAACGAAGTGGAGTTCAACACACCTGTAACCTATGAACCTACTGTAATCTATAAACAGTTGAACGTAACGAAGTGAAGTTCAACACACCTGTAACCTATAAACCTACTGTAATCTATAAACAGTTGAACGTAACGAAGTGAAACGAAGTGGAGTTCAACACACCTGTAACCTATAAACCTACTGTAATCTATAAACAGTTGAACGTAACGAAGTGCAACGAAGTGGAGTTCAACACACCTGTAACCTATGAACCTACTGTAATCTATAAACAGTTGAACGTAACGAAGTGCAACGAAGTGAAGTTCAACACACCTGTAATCTATAAACCTACTGTAATCTATAAACAGTTGAACGTAACGAAGTGAAGTTCAACACACCTGTAACCTATAAACCTACTGTAATCTATAAACAGTTGAACGTAACGAAGTGAAACGAAGTGGAGTTCAACACACCTGTAACCTATAAACCTACTGTAATCTATAAACAGTTGAACGTAACGAAGTGCAACGAAGTGGAGTTCAACACACCTGTAACCTATGAACCTACTGTAATCTATAAACAGTTGAACGTAACGAAGTGCAACGAAGTGGAGTTCAACACACCTGTAACCTATGAACCTACTGTAATCTATAAACAGTTGAACGTAACGAAGTGCAACGAAGTGAAGTTCAACACACCTGTAACCTATGAACCTACTGTAATCTATAAACAGTTGAACGTAACGAAGTGCAACGAAGTGAAGTTCAACACACCTGTAACCTATGAACCTACTGTAATCTATAAACAGTTGAACGTAACGAAGTGCAACGAAGTGGAGTTCAACACACCTGTAACCTATGAACCTACTGTAATCTATAAACAGTTGAACGTAACGAAGTGCAACGAAGTGAAGTTCAACACACCTGTAACCTATAAACCTACTGTAATCTATAAACAGTTGAACGTAACGAAGTGCAACGAAGTGAAGTTCAACACACCTGTAACCTATAAACCTACTGTAATCTATAAACAGTTGAACGTAACGAAGTGTAACGAAGTGAAGTTCAACACACCTGTAACCTATGAACCTACTGTAATCTATAAACAGTTGAACGTAACGAAGTGCAACGAAGTGAAGTTCAACACACCTGTAACCTATAAACCTACTGTAATCTATAAACAGTTGAACGTAACGAAGTGTAACGAAGTGAAGTTCAACACACCTGTAACCTATGAACCTACTGTAATCTATAAACAGTTGAACGTAACGAAGTGCAACGAAGTGAAGTTCAACACACCTGTAACCTATAAACCTACTGTAATCTATAAACAGTTGAACGTAACGAAGTGCAACGAAGTGAAGTTCAACACACCTGTAACCTATGAACCTACTGTAATCTATAAACAGTTGAACGTAACGAAGTGCAACGAAGTGGAGTTCAACACACCTGTAACCTATGAACCTACTGTAATCTATAAACAGTTGAACGTAACGAAGTGCAACGAAGTGAAGTTCAACACACCTGTAACCTATAAACCTACTGTAATCTATAAACAGTTGAACGTAACGAAGTGCAACGAAGTGAAGTTCAACACACCTGTAACCTATAAACCTACTGTAATCTATAAACAGTTGAACGTAACGAAGTGTAACGAAGTGAAGTTCAACACACCTGTAACCTATGAACCTACTGTAATCTATAAACAGTTGAACGTAACGAAGTGCAACGAAGTGAAGTTCAACACACCTGTAACCTATAAACCTACTGTAATCTATAAACAGTTGAACGTAACGAAGTGTAACGAAGTGAAGTTCAACACACCTGTAACCTATGAACCTACTGTAATCTATAAACAGTTGAACGTAACGAAGTGCAACGAAGTGAAGTTCAACACACCTGTAACCTATAAACCTACTGTAATCTATAAACAGTTGAACGTAACGAAGTGCAACGAAGTGAAGTTCAACACACCTGTAACCTATGAACCCCCTATAATCTTTATTTCTCTATTTCATTAGAATAAGACTAAAAAGTAGAAAATAAAATACTTTATAAAAAAAACTTTTTAAAAAAACTACGTTTTTCGCGTAGACTAAAAAGTAGAAAATAACTTTTATTCTTGGTTGTAAAGAATTTGGTTTTAAATTTTCAGATTATATTTAATAAATTTTTATATCTTAGTCAATATTGTTCACAAAGTTTCGAATAAGTGCACTTTGATCTTATCGTATAACTCAACAACTTAAAAACGTGGGCGCATTATAAGAGGAGAAATAAGTTTATGTGAAATCAATACTTTATGATAAACTTAAATTAATGCGCCCACGTTTTTAAGTTGTTGAGTTATACGATAAGATCAAAATGCACTTATTCGAAACTTTGTGAACAATATTGACTAGGATATAAAAATTTATTAAATATAATCTGAAAATTTAAAACCAAATTCTTTACAACCAAGAATAAAAGTTATTTTCTACTTTTTAGTCTACGCGAAAAACGTAGTTTTTTTAAAAAGTTTTTTTTATAAAGTATTTTTATGCAAATATTCCTTTCATTAGCTTTTGATGGATTAACTGAAATTCTTTTTCAACCCTTTCAATGCATTGAGTACTAATAGGAAAATACTCAGTCTGTTCTGTTGGCATGTCAAAAAATTGAAGTATGCAATTCAAACTGTTTGTGCTGAAGCAGCTCTTTGATATGCTATTAGTCACTTTGCTGACATTTTTTGAATTCAATCTTTGATAGTTGAAAGGAACGAAAGACAAATTAGTGTGAGTTTACTGCAGCTCTATCAAAAATTGTCCATGGGACCGTTTACTTTTAACATAACGCGAAAAAGTAACTTTTTAGATGCATTCTTTACGTAATAAGTGAACAGCCCTAAGCAGATGAATCTGTTCTGAAATTTAGTTTAATTTTCAACGGTTGGACTTCGAGCTGAAAGTCTGTTGAATCTTTCTGATCGCGTTCAGAGTGCCACAAACCAAAAAAAGTTAAGCAACACTAGTTTGAAGTCCGCTCAGGAGCAAAGCAAGTTTTTTGGTATTGCAAACAATTTCATTATTCCTTAAAGCCCCACTTGCAACGCCATTTTCTCCTTTATACCAACAAACAGAGCATAATTTGAGAATTATTGCCTCCAGCACTGTCTTATATCATACATGAAAGATCTCTTAAGCAGGATTTCCTCATGTCACATAGTAAAATTCTAATGACATGAAGTTTTAAGTTTGTAAAGTTCTAAAAGATCTTGCAACACCTGAGGTCAAATCTTAAAAAATATAGCAAAATACTTGCAATGACATTTCCTAGACTCCCACAACAATACCATTTCCTAAGCTTCAACAACAATTAAGGCAAAAAATCACAACAAAACTTGTCTTGTTATCCTCATTTTCATTATATTTGGATCAAGAAAAACTTCTAAACCATAAATTTCTAAATAAAAGGCTCATGAAAAGTTTACAAGCTCCTTAAATGTGAGCTAAATATAGTATCACATAGTGGAATGTCCTTCACACAGTTAAGTGTGACAAGTTTCAACACATGGATATAAAGACGTAAATAGCATCTTTAACGGTGACCCAAAAAATACCCAATTTTTGAAATATGGTTAAACTTATGGAAATGGAATCGATTTTCGAAAAAAAGAAATAAAAATCATGGCTTAATTTCTGTTATTGGGGCGATGAGAAAATAGAAATATCAAAAAACGGTCAGTAATCGATAAGAGGGTAATAAAATAGGAATCATTAAAGCCACATGGTGGAATATTTTCAAGTGGAACCGCTATTCATCAAATCTACACTTCAATGTATGAAAAAGACAAACAAAGTAGCACAATGCCTACAGCCAAGGGGAAAACAGTGTGATGTGCATTTAGATCGGCCGTTTCCTTTAAAATAAAGTAAAATAATAAATAATAAAAATAATAATGACAGCATGAAGGGAAACAGTTTAGATTAGTAATTATTAAGGGGATAACAACTTTATGGTTAGCTTATTATTGTTCGTTTTCCACCATGTTGTTATCCCCTTGGAAACTTTACAATAAAATTAAATGAAACATCGATCAATAATAATGAAAATTTGATGAGACTTTCCCACAAAAATCTTTCCTCATCATGTTTTCCCCCCCAGCCTACACCAAATAAGCACACAAAAACTTTCTTATATTTCCTACTAATACAAACATAAAGCAGGCAAAATAAGACTATTAAATTGAACGCATAACAAAAATATTATTACACACCAATTTATTATGCTGTTTTTGTGCTCATATATTACGAATTATTGTGCTATAATAAACCATTTAATGTTTGCGAAACTTTTTCCTCTCTCCATCCAATTTCTATCTCATTTCTTGATTCTTGTTGTTTTCCCTTCTTATTCATTCACATTTTCTTTTATTTCCTCATTTTCTCTCTCTTTCTCTTCGTGTGTGTGTCGACATACCGAAAAACTGACTTCAGATTATGGATGAAAGATGGGAAAGTGAAATCATTGAATACGGTGCTATTAACATAACGGGATTTCGCATATTAGATACACACAAACGATATGTCAAAGAATTTTTAGATGGCTGGCGAAAATTGGACGCAACAACATCGCCAGGAGCTGGAAAGGAGCAGATTTCGGTAAGAAAACATCAGCAAAAATACTTAAACGATAATAAATGAAGAACAATTTGAATCAGAATCCAGCAATAATTCTTTTTATTTTCTTCCCTCACCATTCTCTTTCTCTCATGCCTTTATGTTCCATTTCGTACCAAAAAAACCACCGCTCATTCAACTGCGTAATTTTATTTTTATTTTCACATGCCATTCGCAGGCACAAGGAGCTTTGATGTATGATTCAGTGTTTGTTTTAGTTGAGGCATTTAATCGTATTTTACGTAAGAAGCCAGATCAATTTCGTAGTTATACGATGCGAAGGCAGAATGGTCAAGCAGCTAATACCACAGCAAAGTTTCTTGATTGTAATACGTCAAAAGGATGGGTGACACAATGGGAGCATGGCGAGCGGATAGCAAAAAATTTGAGAAAAGTCGAAATTGAAGGGCTTACGGGTGAAATACGTTTTAATGATGAAGGCAAACGTATCAATTACACACTTCATATAGTTGAAATGACAGGTAAAATCGACTCAATTAAGATACAATTTCGATAAATGTTACCAATTAACTTTCATTTTGTTTCCATTTACAACAGTTAATAGTGCTATGGTGAAGGTAGCCGAATGGTCAGACTTTTCTGGTATATCGGCTGTATCGACGAAATTCACGAGGATAAAAAATCACGACATTGAGAAAAATAAGACGTATATTGTTACGACAATATTGGATGAGCCATATATGATGTTGAGGCAGCCTGACATGGTGCCTGGTAAAGTTTTGGACGGAAATGACAAATATGAAGGATATTGTAAGGATCTTGCAGATCTCATTGCCAAACGATTGGATATAAATTGTAAGGAAATGAAATATTAGATTAATTTTAGACAGTTCATGTTACAATGGCGCATTTTGAGTTATTATTTTGGATTTGAGGGTGGCAAGGGAGGCAGCAAAGGGCATCCTAAACATGTGAAATATGTGTTTATAGCCTGATCAATTTTAGAGTTTGAAAACTATTGTGAAGATTGATGGAACCTAATAAGGGGCCGTTCACTTATGACGTCCATGGGGGGGGGGGGGGGGGTCAGCAAGAAAAGAACAATAGAAATTCCTGAAATTCTATTGTTCTTTTTTGAAAAATGACTGTTAATATCGGACGTCATAAGTGAACGGCCCCTAATTAAAATATCCAAAAAAATTCACGCGACACCCCCCCCCCCCTTAGTATACCGTACTTTTCCATTTCTTTTAAAATTTCAGAAGAGATAGTTTTAAGCTAGTCTATAAATAAGTATTTTACGCTTGCTTAAATTCAACATACTGGAGCTTAATGAGAAAATGAACCTGTTCGCAAAACAACATCACGTAATAAATAAACAGTCCCCTATCAAATTATCTGCCATAAAGAGCAATAATCCAAAAATACCCCTACCAGAACACGGTAACAACCCAATAACACTGATTGAAATATTTTCCATAAAATCAATCTGCATTTTCTCCAATTCATAAAAGTTATCGTAATCACCAATAAATAAATTTCACTGCCTCCATTTCAGCTCAATTTTTCAATTACCTTCTCTTGTTTACCAACATAAATCGTAAGAAAATAGACAAAATAAAGCTTTATACCCGTTTGATATATTAAAAGATGCGCCGAAAAAAAAAGGCTAATTTCTTTGGGTTGTTTTCCTCTTCCTCACTCTCTTTTTTCATGTAATGCTTTCATGCGAAAATTTAATTATCAAAAACCCAGCCATATCCATCTATTCCATTTCACTCTCCTTCTCCACCATCTGAATAATCATTCTTGCCTATTGTATATTGAATGAAGCTTGTGCTAGTGTAATTGAATATTTAATTTTTCTTCTTCTTTTAATTTTTTTTCCTTCCTCCTTGTGTTCTATGCTGTGTGCCATAAAAAATAACTACTACCACCAACATCATCAAACATCAAACATCATGACGGACAATATGAAATTAAATGAACAACAAAAAAAGATGAAATAAGAATCGTTAAAGATGGAAAATATGGTGCAGAAAATCCAAATGCCGTTGCTGGTTGGGACGGTATTGTTGGAGAATTAATTCGTCATGAGGCGGATATTGCTGTTGCATCCATGACTATAACAGCGGAACGTGAACGAGTCATTGATTTTAGTAAACCTTTTATGTCGCTCGGCATATCAATCATGATAAAGAAACCCATGAAACAGAAACCTGGTCTCCTTAGCTTCCTAAATCCATTATCAAAAGAGATTTGGGTGAGTTTCGGTCTCTTAAAAGTAAAAGCATTCTCATTATTAATTCATGCGTAATTTAGCAAGGGAAAATATGGAATGTGTATGTGCGAGTAGAACATTCGGTTCTATCACGGAAACAAAAAGAGCAAAGAGAAAAAAAAGTTTTCATTAAAGAATTATGTCTGAAAGAAAGTTATCCAGTAGTTTAGTGACTGGGGAGAAAATACACTTTTTTGATGAAGAAAAATTGAGATTGAGATTATCAGGGACTGCCCACGCATTACAAAATTGGATAATGGGCTATATTTTAGTTTCATAGAAAGTTATTTCGTTCATGACCATTCATAGTAAAGGACATAATCCAATTACACGAATAAATTCAATCCTGTAATTCTATTTACTGCCAACATTAGTTTCTGACAGTAACAATAAATAGAATCACATGTAACTGTCATTATGGGATGTAAGTATTGTCAGTGATTGTCGTCGACCTTCAATTTCTATCATTTTTTTTAAAGCAACACTGCAACGAGTGATTGTGTCAATATTGAGATATGAAACTTGCTGCAACGAGAGAATAGTGGCGTTGTCTGCCATCTCCTGCTGTTCATATAATTGTCAATCACTGCTTTTGACAGGCTCTCTGTTGGATGTGCCACTGCAATTAAATGTGAAAAATTCTATAGATATCATTCAGAGCTTTTAACAGCATGTAGGGTGTAATAAAATGTCCATTATGTATAATAGCTAGGGTTGGAAATGCTATTGTGGAATAGTGTTGTGTTGTCTGGGCTGAGAGGAATTTGTAGGGTAATGAGACATATGTAGGCAAATCTGCTAGTGCCAGATTAAGACCTTTGTGAACGATTATTTTAGTAACAGATCAGAAATTTAGTGTCCTCTTTTATGAAGATAAGGTTCAATTCCCAACAAGTCCTGATCTCTGAATCGTTAAGAGAGAGTTGTCAATTTAGTAAGGATTCTCAAAAAAGCTCTTAACATTACAAGTGAACTAGGATAGGATTGTAGACAGTCCTAATAATGTTTTAAACTAAATTTTTAAAAAGTATGGTCAGTTATATGTCACAAAACCTATAAATCTACGTTGAACTCAATTTTTATTCGTATTTACATCCAAGACCTTCTTAAATTTTCAAAATCTCTTGACAAAAAGCTTGTTCAAGTTACAAACTTGACAATTAAATCCAACAAACCCTTTAGCTAGTCCTTTGCCAATTCCATAATTAAAACTCAACAGTCTAAACACCCCCAAAGCTAATAGAACTTATGTCCATTCGTAAACACAACAAAGTAATAAAATTTCATTAATAAATGGAAGAATAGAGTGGAATAAACATAAATACCGACAACAATTGATATCAGCCAAGAATAAAGTAGAGAGAGATTGAAAATAATTTCCGAACGTACATACATATTGCATTAGTACAACCTAAATGTTGTTTTATTCTATAATGAGATGGAAAATGGGGGAACGTTCACGAGTGCAACGATAAATTTACATACATTCCATGCATACAAAATTTATATTTAAAACAATTTTCAATTCATTTTAGTTGTACTGGAATTTTTTATAAGTTCCAACTCGTTGTCATTTAACAAAAAAAAATTTATTTCATTTGCATTTTTTTTTATTCTATTTTTATATCCCTCAGCTATGTGTAGTTTTTAGTTTTTTGGGCGTTAGTATTGTACTATACATCGTATCCAGATTTTCACCACACGAATGGCGACCCATGACAGTCATGACGCCAAATAATAACTTTAGTATGCCAACGCAAACGATAACGACGCATCAGACCACTTCAGTTAATGAATTTACGTTACTTAATTCATTTTGGTTTGCAATAGCTGCACTCATGCAACAGGGTTGCGACTTTACACCGCGCTCACTGCCAGGTATTTTAATTTACATTACATTCAATTTTTTTTTTATCATGTTCATGTTCACTCAAAATGAAAATTTGTAACACATACAATATAAAAAATATTTTAAGGTCGCATAATTGGTTCGGTGTGGTGGTTTTTTACTCTCATATTGATATCATCATATACGGCAAATTTAGCGGCATTTTTAACAGTAGAACGTATGGTCGCGCCCATCAATTCACCTGAAGACTTAGCAGCTCAAACAGATGTGCAATATGGAACTCTATATCATGGATCGACATGGGATTTCTTTCGAGTAAGTAATGAGAAATGAGTTGAGAGATTAATTATTTAATAAAAAATGAAAGATGGTTTCTTTTGCGAGAAGAAAAATTGCTGAAAGCTTTGCTAATGCGAGCTGAAACTTTCTTCATTTCCTCTTTTTATCACCACAGAAGTAGATTGAAGAAGATAGAAGGGAAAACTTCTTCAGCTTCTTTTTTTTCATTAGAAATTAAAGAATAAAGTCGGATCTTTATGTTCACTTTGGTGGAGTGGACAGCTGATTAAAGCAGTTGATAGTGAAATGAAGAATTAAGGAGATAATCTGGCGATGAGAAATTTAATTCATTTGTGGATTGACTGACATTTTCGAGAGATAACTTAAAAAATCCAATTTCAACTTGATTGGAGGAACTAAGAACTTGTTCTATTGGATGTTTTAAGTTATCTTATTGATGAGTTATTTGTGAAGTTCAATTTTCGAACTGAGCTCTGAATGAAATTCAATTTTTGAACTGAGCTCTTAATGAAATTCAATTTTTGAAGTGAGCTCTTAATAAAGTTCAATTTTTGAACTAAGCGAACCAAACTCTGCATGGTCAGATTAAAACAACAATAAAAATGCTTTCTAATCACAATTTCATCATTACTCACCATAATCCTCAATTCTATCCACTCAAAAACCTCTTTCATCTACCATCTCATCCACAGAATTATTTAATAAAGAGCATCCAAGCGTGTTAAAATAAAATTGCATAAAAAATATTCTGTATGTATTTCATTATTTACGATAAATGCCGCCAGAGATGAAAAAGTTTCTTCTCATCTTGTCGAAGATTCAATTATCGTTCTACACTATACAATACAGTTGTTAGTTTTTTGTTTCATCAAAGCCAATGGACATACACAATTAAATTAAATACTATGTAGTAAAAGTTGGGAAGTTTGTATGTCTGTGACAAGTTATCGTACATGTTCAACGTCTATTCTCGTTTAATATGGATTTGTACCTTCTAAAATGAAGTTTGTTTTAATGGCATTTACATCTACTGGATAAATGTGCATACATATAGTTTTATAGAATTTCAGCTAAGTGAGCGAACGCGTTGACTAAAAATTATAATGAATATGATTTTTTAATTGGATTTTTTTCAAACTCCTTGCATGAAAGTTATTTTAATAAATTGAGTTTGAGAGTCACGGGTAGCACTGTGTACTGAAAAATCTGATATAAATTAAATTGTTTTCGTTAAAATACATTCAATAAATATTCCTGTTGCCTCGGTTTTGGGACCATCGAACCCATTTCCACTCATTGAGAAAACATGCACCCCCCTCCCCCTCCCCAACTTGCGATAAATATTAAACTTAACCAAATGAGGCATGAAGTTAAATGAAATTAAGCAAACGAGCCTCAAATATTAGCATCTTCCAAAATCAAACTTAAAATGCCTAAAATTCAAGCCAAGAATCTCAATTTTCATTTATTAGAAATTCCAAAAAAAGTTCTGTTTGTAATCCAATATCTCAAAGTCTATTTTGAAGCATTCAAACCCAGTGACAAATTAATTCTTCTCCATCAACATGCAAAATTACTCTCGATTTTTCCAGGAAATAAGGACCAAGATGTACGAAAAGTAATGCTTCGAATTTCAAAGAAACTATTTTTCATTAAATTTCTAAAGGGTTGTATGGATTCCATTTAATAAGATTTTTTCTTTTCCTTTCTATCCTCATTTTTTTTCATATCAAATTGTCTTTCACAGAAATCTCAAATATCATTATATAATAAAATGTGGGAGTTTATGAATTCAAGAAAGCACGTTTTTGTTCATTCCTATGATGAAGGTATTCGTAGGGTTCGAACATCAAAAGGAAAATACGCTCTGCTTATAGAGTCCCCAAAGAATGAGTATATAAATGAACGGGAGCCATGTGATACGATGAAAGTTGGTAGAAATCTTGATGCTAAAGGATTTGGCATTGCCACCCCACTTGGATCACCATTAAGGTATGTATTAATATTGTATTTTGTCTAGTATGCTACCATGTTATCTTTCCGATAAATTTAATATTAAATAATTTATCTGCATCTATGATCTCCTATCTATTGTCTTACTTTAACATGTTTGTGCTGTGTGTTGTCCTTTAGACAATTTTGTCAGAATTTATAGGCTCGTGTTGTGTCTCAGCATTGGGTTTTTGATCAAATTTGTCAATATCATGCTGGTTGCAGCATTAAGGTATACGCTGTTGATGACAAACTGCAATTTGGGCACATGTTTAAGACTGCATCAAATCCAGAATAGTATAAAAATTATGTAAAATCTAACAAACGTCTCAAAAAATCCAAAATCACCCAAAAATAAAAATTCAACAAAATCACAAAACATTCGACAAAAATCATCCGCAAAGGATGTCTACAGACTTGCACTAATTGAGAATTACATTAAATTATTATGATTATCAAGAGAGATTGTAAAATATTTTCAAATGATACTCTTACATGATACATCAGATTCGATTTGTGGAGTCGAAAATAATCGTCTCAACATTGATTCCTCGATACACATGTACTTTTCCTCTTAACACTTGCCTCTTGCCAGAATTCTTCTTCAATCAATTATTGTACGTTTGATACTCTATTGTATACATCTATAAAATTTATATATTGGAGTATATTTCATTCCGTGTTGTGCTGTCAGTGATATAAACTAATAAGTATCATGTCCATATGTCTGTTATAGTGAAAATATATGTATGTGGAGTGGATGGAGAGAAAAGTGAAGGATTTAAAAGGGATCTTTTGCTGTCACGAATTTTTTATATTTGTTATTATTTTTCTCTACTTCCTCGCTCCGTACAGAGATTAAATCCCCAGTAAATAAAGGTTTAATGAGCTTTCACTCCTATCATTGATACATCTTAAATGATTGCTATAAATCTTTTGCCCTCGTTGTTTCCTTTCTTTGTTTTTCAACATATTATTTTGAAGGGAGGAAAAAAGTTTGCTGGATGTTTCTGCTTGTGTGCTAATTTCGGGAGAATGACTTAATGTCAAAATTTGTTAGTTCTATTATTTTTCATGATAATCCTCTTGACTAAGGAATTGTCGGGATGAATTTTTTGGAGACATGATTAAATTGGATCATTAGAAGCACATCTATTTTGGAAATTCTGCTTGGATTTTTTGAAGGAGGGATGCTTAGTTAAGCAGACTTTTTAGAGCATTAGATCTTATAAAAGTTATTGACATTAATGTTCATTAGGGTTAGCTTTTTTGGAGTGATTTGATGGCAAGTTAGCAGTTTTAAGATTGAGTTCGTGATAAACTTAGATTAGTGATATAACAGGATGGGAACAGACTCGAGTGTTACGAAAAACGACACCAATAACCTTTAGGGACGTCAAATTTTATGAGCAACCACAATATTTGCTATACCACGAACTTAGTTTTCTATGGAGTCCTCTTGAACCAATACTCAAGCTTTGTCTTGACCCAAGTCTGATATTAGTTATTTTTTTTTGTCCAAGGACCTCAAAGGTAAACCATCACAAAATTCGTGGAACTAGATTCCACAAAGTTTGGCTCCATGTACGTTTCATGCGAGTCTAGTGCTTCTATTTTGGATCTTTTTATTACCGTGTTCTCTTAGAAATTGTAATCAATAATCTAGGCATTGAGCTTATACTTAAAGGATGTCTTTTCTGAACTCACATATTTGTATTCAAACATTTATATCAATTTCACATTGCCACCTTTAATAAATAACAATAAAATCCAGCTTCATATTCAAATATAAATGCGCCCTATCTACATTAAATTCCAAAGGCAATTTTCTTCAATTTTCTTCGTCTATATTTCATTCCTCCTTCACATATTGTTTCACAAGTTCAACTATTGACTAACTGGGCCTCATATATATATACATCTAAAGCATGTTGAGGCATACGAAACAATAAAAAATCGACGTAAATAAAAGAGGCTTGAAATCAAGAAAATGCGAGGTTTATATTTCATCTACTCATAGCTCAAGCATAAAGACACACATATATATAAGAAGTAAAATCAAGGGAAAATAAGAAGGAATGAAAGAATTGAGAAGAATTGAAGCTTTTTCCATAAGATTTCTATTTTTTTCGATTTGTGTTTTTTCGCATTCATCAGGAATGAAATATATATATTTTATTTTTCTGTGCCTTTTCATACACTCGGCTGTACGTATGTACAATGTATGTTGGAAGCAAGTATAATGTGAGTATAACATACAGAGAAGAAGGAGAGAAAAAGGGCACGTAGAGAAAAAAATGAAAGCACAAAAAAAAATTATTCCAGCATATCCATGAAGCGACACGTGAATGGCAATATATCACATCACTGTTAAAGAATTCTTTACATTTATTTATTTTCATTCCATATTATAGATACTTGAAGCTCTGCTAACAGCAAATGAAAAGCAAGTGAAATTTGTTTCACGGAGAAAAAAAAAACAACGGTGAAATTGAAGTCAAATAAATAAGCAAAAAAATTTATTCTCCTTTCTGCTCCATTCTTCATCTCTGCAATTGTTTGAGATTAAATTTTTCTTATTCTTTTCTCTTTTCTCTAACCTTCTCATAACTCCGCTTTGTCGGTTACATTATTCAATATTTCATCGTCCATTGTATGACACATTGAACGGTACACAGAAGAAGGAAAGGAAGAAAGAAATTATTTTTATCGAAAAGGGAGAATTTTTTTTTTATTTATTCGACGTATGTGACGTGACCTAGCACTCTAGTGACATTGCCTTTTTACACGCTTTTCTTCCGATTTCTATTGTTCTAAGTAGTCAGAGACACACTCATGTGTCCCTTGTGATAGTTTTTTGTGGTTATGTTGTGTAGAAAATTGTTATTAATTGAAAATTGAGGTTTGAGCTTTTATTATGTTTAACATGATGTTCGAAGGATTTAGGAATCTAATAATGTGATACTGACTTTATTGTTGGAGCAAAGTGGAATCTGGGGTATCATTTTTGATGTTAGTGAATCTATCAGTACTAGAATAAAGCCTTTATAACAGAGTGGTTAGGCAATAGTTTGGAAATCTGTAGCCTTCTTTTGTGAGGATGAAGGTTCTATTCTCACAATTACGCTAATTTTGAGATTTTTGATTTCTTGTGAAATTTGAACCTAGATTTGAAGAGTTTGGCTAGTCTGAAAACAATTGTATGAATTGGGATATGGAATATTATTTCATCTGAGTTAGATTATGCTTAATAAGATCTACATTAAGTTCACAGATATCAACCATGGTGACTAGACCATAGCAACAAATTTGCAAAAATACAAATGGTTTAGATTCCCGTGTCTCGTTCCTGATGATATCTAAATTTTGTGAGAATTAGTAAAGAACTAGATTAATTATAATAGAAATTTGAAGCACTAGTGAGTCAAAATTGAGCAATGAAAGCGTTCTGTAAAGCCTAATCAAATACTAGCTTCTACTTTAAGTTTGATTAGCCTAGCTTTTAAATCCAAATCCTGAAGAGTTTATTGACAGATTTGCATACATTTGCAAGTCAAAACTTTCCAACTGCATCTACACCAACCTAAATTCATTCAGAACATGAAGAGTATGCTGACAAAATTGCCACAAACGCTTCATGTATTCGCATTTTGACATCATCAGAGGACATATTTCTTTCCTCTCATTTCTCATACGTCACGACACACACATTATAACGTGCAATCATTTTTGCTAGAATTAAGCGAACTTCTGTATTCGGAGACACATTCTCGACATTATTCTTTCTCTCGATGTCCTCACAATTGTCGACCTGATGATGATTGTGACTTGATGGCAATGAGATCTTGTCGAGGAAAATTATTTTCCAACAACTTTGTTCGTCAATTTAGCACTCACTAAAAATGATAAAAAAATTTTTTCATTTGTTCTGAAGATCGTCTCAAGAGAATGCCTTAAACTAAAAATAGTTCTTCAGATGCTCAAATTCACTTTTTTATATTTGAACAAACATCGAGATGGAACTTGAATCTTCATCCACTTTTGTTAAAATTTTCTTTTCTGCTAGCTTGTTTTTTATCCAAACGATGCTTTTCATTTTTTTTGAGATAATTTTCCATTTTCTCCTTTTCGTTCACGTCATGTGAGATATAAAAAGTATGGCATGATTTGTACGTAGAAAATGTAATTCAATTTTAAGATTATCTACCTTTTCTTGCTCGTCGTCACACTAAAGTTTTGTTACTTTCTTGTCTTCTTCAACGTTCGTACACTTGCTTCAGATACAGATACAAGTGGATGAAAAAAATATATCTTGATAGAGCACACGTATGTGCGTATGCACTTACTTATACAGTGATTTTTTTACGAGTCTAAATCCTTAAGTCAAAAGAAGGAAATAAATTCGAATGAAGGAGGTCTTAGAAAGTTTGAATATTTTATGAGTTGAAGAGGATTTAAAAGCTAAGCGCATTTTGTAATTGAGGAATCAATTTTAGGACTCTTTTATATGGTAATATAGGTAAATGAAGCTTAAATTAACATAAAACATTTTTATTAATTAAAGTTTATTCACTCCTATTCAATATTGGACCCAAGATGGTGTCAGAGTGTGTTTAGAAATTAAAAAAAAATCTTTTAAGCTGCAAAATCTTCACAGAAACTTAACTTCCTCTGAACATTCTTTGAATCTAAGAATTAAGGTTGAAATCATTCGAGGTAAAAATAAGTTTCTTAACAATTGAAAGTATGAAAAAATTCTTGAACGCCATCCCAGTTTTTAAGCATTCTTAATGTGTGTCACTGCTTACCATTCTCCCTTCCTAGACATCACAACTTAGTTAAAATGTTTAAAAAATTCAAGATCTGTTTACATTTTATACCACAACTTTAATCTCAATGCAAATCTAAAATCCAATAAGCCTGATGCTCTGTATAAGAAATAAGGCAGAAATCTCTTCAGACCATTCATATAAACATCTTCGATACCATAGATACGGATT